TGTGGGAGATTGTTACTTGTTTCGTTATGACCTTTGGATCTACAGGGCTTGTGTTCTTCGCCATGATGCGTATATGGGCAGCTTTCAAAAGGAACAGTCTTGTGGTGGTGATGCCTGAAGAATGTGGGCTTAAGACAAAGCAGTTTGAGTACGAGAAGATGGAGAAGATGGAAGTTGTTATGAGCAAAGCCGAGGCGAAACAAGAAAGGAAGTGAAGCTCAAAGTTTGGTGATTTTCGTGTTTAGGATGTGTGATCTCTATGTAATCAAGTAGATTTCTTGGGTGTGTAATGGTAACTAGTAATCCACCATGAGGTTCTTCGTTGGCTAATTTAGAATCCTTGTTATTACGTGTGTAAGCTTTGCAACACTGTTACTCCTTCGCATTAGTTTGTTTTGGCTATGCAAATATGAGAAGAATTCCATAGAATCCACACCAAACTTGAGTCCACGTGGTACTCGTCTGCAATAGATGAGAAAAACAGATTCCAACTAATAGATATGTAGTCACGATCAATTTAAGTACACAATGTAGTTTATCTTCATCTACACAAAATCTTCAACCGAAGAAAACTTTCACGACGATAACTGCTACGTTAATGAGCATCAGGGGAAGTCTCATGTACTGGCAGGCATTGATTAGACCAACGATTTGGCCTTTCGGAGAGTTTTTCCTACCGGTTTGGTGGAGCTCTGCTAGTGTCCATCCTCTTGGAGAAAGAAAACGGTCTTCGTTGAGGATTGCCAGCGCATTTGCAAATAGCAGCAGACCTTTCATCAGTGTCCAGAAGCCCATTGTTCTCTGTGATGCAGAGTTTCAAAATAATCAGAATCACGGAAAGAGAGTAAAGCATGGCACACAGTTTCAAGTACTCATACTTTGAAGGAACTAGGTTTAAAATTCTCTGAATTGACACCAAGTAAGTGCAAGTGTAAGCTACTGCGGTGAAGAGGTCACTCTATTTCCAGTGTTCAGTGATTTACTGTTGTCCTGATGGATCTAAGCGTCTATAGAAGAGAACTAAGAGTATAGCAATGCGAAATCTCGACTCTAACACATAAAGATCAATGATAGGAAGGGATACGCCACTGGAGTGTGATTCAGTTTCTAACTATTTGGTGCGTTTAAAGGATTAGACTTTTTTCCTTCCTCGCAATGGTGTCTAGAGTCACCGAGATACCAATGCAAAGAGCCTTAACCTAAGCATGATGTATAGCAGGATACATAATCACATAAGCAACAGAAATACGCTTGGTGACAATTTTCAGGATCGATAGCAGAAATGTATCAAGCTAGATAAAGGCAAGAACACTAGATGAGGTTGGTTGTTTTTATGGAGTTAATTCAAGAACAGTAAAATCAATCGCGACATTATGAAAGATCGAAAAACGGATCCTCGGGTTCAGCAGCTGCAGCAATCAAGATTACTTAGTTCCATTACAAGTGAGGAAGACAGTCTATTGTTCCTAAGTAGCTATCAAACAACAACGACCCCATTAAACCAAAATGTGGAAAGAGATTTTAGAGCAAATGCATACCGATTAAGCAAAGCTTGGTGCTCAGCTAGATTTAAGGCTTTAATTTCAGTAGAAACTGAGAATGAAAATCCTAATTAGCTAAAGATTAATGTCGGTAAGGCATAAGCAGTTCATGTCCAAGCTTGATCACCAATTCAAACGACTAGCGATAGCTAATCAAAGACCATCAGAGAAATCTAAAGCTATGTTCGATTAAAAAAATCACTTTCTGGTGTAACACATTCCGTAGGATTTCTAAAACGTATACTAAACGTGAGATCAAGACTGCAATCGAAGATCCAAGTTTGTTTACAGAAGCATCCAAACTAATCGATCAATTCTCATAACGAAATTAAATCTCAAATCTAGCAACCAGTGAAGAAAAGTATAAAAAAAAGAAGAAATGCAGAAATTGAATCGAATTCGAGATTACCGTAAGAAATTGTCCCGGCGGCAAGAAATCGACGACGAAAACGGCCTGAGAACGAGATAATCAAATCGTCGGTGAGATCTTGTTGCAGGAAATCGGAAGTAGGGCTTCTTCTTAGAAAATCTGAACTGATTCTTCGACCCAGAGTAAAAAAAAAAAACCGAACCGAGTTTTTTTCAAGGGTTGACCCGGTTCGAGCTGGAGTCGGGTCAGGACCCGATATTGTTTTTTTTTTGTTTTTTGTGAAAGAGGAAGATTTGGATAAACCCTCGTATCGAAGTAAAAAAAAACCCCATGGCTTCTTCACTTGTTCTTTTTCCTCACCTTCACCATTTTGATTCTCCTTCTTCACGTTCGATCATAAATCGTAGAGAGATTTTAGTAGCTCACAATCGAAATTCACGAATCTCTCTTAAAGCTTCCATTAATGGCGGCATCACAAACGGAGCAACGGAAACTGCTAAACCTAGTCGGAGAGGGAGGAAGAAGAAGCAAACCTCGACGGTTACTGAGAAAGAAGAAACCGTAAACGGTACTATCGAGACGGATCCTGAATCCAATCCGGATTTAGTCGATTACGACGACGGTATCGAGTTTCCGTACGACGATCCGCCACTCGTGTGCTGTTTCGGAGCCGTACAGAAGGAATTCGTTCCGGTGGTTCGAGTCCACTATAATCCGATGCATCCTGACATGTATTCGCAGTGGAAGATGCTGCAGTGGGATCCGCCGGAGTTTGGACGAGCCCCGGGAGGTCCGCCGTCGAACGTGGCGATCTCTCACGTCCGTTTAGGCGGGAGAGCTGCGTTTATGGGGAAAGTCGGTGAAGATGATTTCGGGGAAGAGCTGGTTTTGATGATGAACAAGGAGAGAGTTCAGACGAGAGCTGTGAAATTCGATGAGGGTTCGAAGACTGCTTGTACTCGCGTTAAGATCAAGTTCGAGGACGGGAAAATGAAGGCGGAGACGGTGAAAGAGCCGCCTGAGGACTCGCTTCTTGCTTCGGAACTGAATTTAGCTGTGTTGAAAGAGGTAAGACCTTTCAATGTAGTGTATAGGATTGAACATTTTGGCTTTGATAGCTCGAGCTTGTGGTTCTTATGGTCATTCTCTGAATTGGGCATAAATCATATTCCAAAGTGACTGGTTTTAAGTTCATGTATATGATTTGGATCATGAAACAGAGCATCTCAGCTTGGCTTTTGAGCTTTTACTTCTGCTTCAATTGCAGGCAAGTATTTTCCATTTCAATTCAGAAGTGTTGACGTCTCCTACGATGCAATCGACTCTTTATAAGGCAATACAATGGTCCAAAAAGTTTGGAGGGCTTATTTTCTTTGACTTGAATCTTCCATTACCGCTATGGAGATCGCGCAATGAGACTAGGAAGTTGATCAAGAAAGCATGGAATGAAGCAAACATCATAGAAGTTTCACAGCAAGAGCTTGAGTTTCTACTTGATGAAGAGTACTACGAGAGGAGACGGAATTACACTCCACAATACTTTGCTGAGGATTTTGAGCAGACAAAAAACCGAAGAGATTATTACCATCACAAACCAGAGGAAATCAAGCCATTGTGGCACGACAAGCTGAAGCTATTGGTTGTGACTGATGGAACACTTCGGCTTCATTACTATACTCCTTCTTTTGATGGTGTTGTGGTCGGAACCGAAGATGTGCTTATAACTCCTTTCACCTGTGATAGGACAGGTTCTGGTGACGCTGTTGTTGCAGGGATAATGAGAAAGCTAACGACTTGTCCCGAGATGTTTGAGGACCAAGATGTGTTGGAGCGACAGCTCCGGTTTGCAGTCGCTGCAGGGATCATATCGCAATGGACAATTGGCGCAGTTAGAGGTTTCCCTACTGAAAGTGCGACACAGAATTTGAAAGAGCAAGTTTATGTTCCATCAATGTGGTAGTTAGAAAGATCAAGGACTCAACTTCTACTAAATGTTTTGAACTGTGTATGATGTATACTGATTCAAAATTGTAATCCAATGTACAATCAATTTTTGTGTTCATTGATAACAACGATATGAAAGGATGATGAGCAGCTGTTTCCTTCCCCAAGAAATCTCTCTTTTGTTCTACTCAGCTTCCTTTGCAGAGTCAAAATCACAAAAATGCTCTAGATCCAAGTCGCGATGTTACTCCTGTATGGAGAATCGTTTCTACAAGCTGACTGAATCTTCCAAGAACTCGGGTTCTCTCTTTTTCATGTATTGTACAACAAGCCTATAAACTCAAGCAGATTGTTGTACCTCCTGAATCCTGATCCACTGCAGCGTTCTTCAGTGTTAAGACATTAATCCCGACTGTTTTTGACTAATGTACCGCTGCTATCTTAAAGCACTCTTCTTCCATGTCTTTGACTCTGTTCTTAGACTTGATTTTTTCCAGAGCTGCTCAGGATGAGACCTGTTACAGATGCAATCGGGTTGTGGGTTCGCATAGAAATTCTCCTCTAGCCTGGGAAGTGCAGCAGGCAGTCTCGCATATGCTGCACCAATCCTGTCTCTATTTAATCGCTTAACCTCGGAAGCAAATTCTTCCCAAGATAGGACACCCTCATCAAAATGATCTATCAGTCTAACAAAATTTACCCTGAAATAATCGCACAGAACATATCAGCAAAAACCAGCTAAAGGAACTACAAATCTACTGCAAAACGAAAAGTTTTATAACACGTTAACATACCTGTCTGGATTTATTGACTTCCTAAACCCTTCAAACCTTCTGTGCCCTTGTACCGCCTTAGCCATATTTCCATCATATGTATATACAAAAACATCGCTTTCAAGGGCCACAATGTAATCCAACGCAGCAAGGCGGTTCTGGTATTCCCTGAAAGGCTCTAACTCTTCTTCAGTCGCAAGAGTTGAATGAGAGAAGACATTTGGGTACTCTTCACGGAAAGCATCCATACTCTTGCTTCCATAGATTTCACCAGCAACAATATATATAGTCGTGGAAGACGGATACCCCATTGCCTTTAGAAATATGGCTGCTTCTCGCGGAGACATCGGACATCCCCCTTGAATCCGTCTCTCTTGGCTATCAATTTCTTTCTCCTTCCAATGTTTAACACTGTACCTCATGATTCTCAGATCTTCGGCTTCCTCAGCCGTAAGATTGTGGTTGCATCCTGTGAAGGCAAGCATGTCCTTCTCATATCTGCAAATCCAAAGCTCCTTTGAATCAAAACCGAGATCCAAATATGATTTCCCTTGCTAATGAAAAGAACTGTCAGATTTACCTCAAATGCAGAGCAATATAAGGCTCGCTGTTGTTTCTTAATCGGTTAACCAATACTTCTCCAAGGTCCTCGATTTCCTTGCCGTACATCAGTGCCTGGTAATTAGCACGACATCTCAATCGTTGAATCGATGGTGGCAGGCCATTGTTAGCAAGCCGTGAGTCAGTAAGCGTGAACTTTAACACCTTATGACGTTTCAACAGTGGCAGCATTTCACTTCTGTAGTAACTAGCCTACATACCAATTATGAATTTGAGAAGCAGAGATATAAAATGGTAACCAAGAAAACATTCCCTGATATGAATAAAGCACAGACCTTTGACCATGAAACAGGGGCCTTGAGAAGATGCTTCATGGCAGCATACTGAGGAGGCAAGTACTCGACAATGTCAACATCGTGTTTCAATACGTTCATGAAGTGTCTCCAGTCAAAAATATCTTTGAACGTGCTGCATACAAAATGATACGGTTTGACATTCCAGTTATCTTCTAGGAATAACTTGTGTTACCAGGTCAATAAGAGTGACAAGATATAAAGACATGAACCTCGGATCAGTCCAGAAAGATTCATGGTCAAGAAGAGGAAGAACAAGCGTTGCATTCATAATCTTGGCAACAGCAACCATGTCACATATCTGCATTTTGACCGAAACCAACGAAGACAGGTAAATCAAAACAATTCACTGTTGAGAAACCGGAAATCGAAAGCCTCTAAAATTATTTGGAAGTGAACTCACCCCGGTTCTCATCTGATTCAATCCTCCATTTGCGTGTACTAGAAGATACCCATTGGTATTTCGGTGCAGCCCTAAGCAAAGACATATGTCAGTTCCTCATTTCCAGGAAAACAAAATCTTGAGCACTTAGAATTGCATATGTGCTTAAAGAAGAACTAGGAAATGCAAGATAGCAACATACTTGTATGGTTCTTAGGATGCGCCACACATTGACGATAATTCCCACTTTCAGGTTTCTGCCAAATTTCCGGAATCTGTAAAAAGCAATAGCCAAACATGAAATCCATGACCAGATCCTCGGAAATGAAGTCAAAAGGAAATTTTTTGTCTTCCTTGCATTGCAGAAACAGAGAAAATGATTAAGAATTAGTTCATTCTCATTCTGGAAGACCTCCAATTACACTGAACACAGAGTTTCTCGTACCTTAGATCTATTGATAAATTAAAGTCAAGTAACTATTAACTCAACAAACCAAGCTACACAGATTAAAAATTTAACTCAAGGGATCATCTAGTCAACAGTCATGAACTGTTAATCAAAACCAATATCAAATGGATTGTTTTTAAACGTTCAAGTTTAGCTATTGCAGGACCTAGATTAAAGAGTTTTCAATTTCAAGTCTTCTCAAACAATGACACAAAAGGTTATGGATCCTCATAGTTCATAACAATAATGGATTCTCATAGTTCATAATTAACAATAATGGATTCTGCAGAAACTAAAGTCAATGGAAACTATGGGGAAGTGGTGATCCACCTCAAGGCCACCCAAATCCATTGACTATTATTGCTTGTCAAAGTCTCAATCCAATTACTTATCAAAATGTACAACTCATAAAAACGAATTTCAGAATATTCCAACGCCACCGAAACAATGATAATTTCAGTTATGCAATCATTAGAGACGTGACGTTCTGCGAATACAACTTTCTACCTACCCCA